ATTGCTAACTTTTGATACTATGCTGTCAGTATATTTCTATGATTTACTTATCTTCCATACCTGAAACTTTGGTTCTGTTCATCTATTTTGGTTTTTATATTCTTAAAGACAGCATGATGTAACTTGTAAACTACATTGGACCCAGGTGGCCATTTTTGGTTGCTTACTCACCGTGTGAACATGGGGAAGTTCCTTTATCCTTTGGGGCTTCTATTCTTTCCTGTGTAAAGTGGGATAATCCCATTTATGTCAAAGCTGAGTGAATGAACATAAGATGCATAGGACAGTTTCAGCTCCAAGTGTCCAAATGTAATCACTCTGCAATCTCTTGCAGCTCTGACAAACCGCCCCTTTAGTTCGACCTCTGCCAGTGTTTTTGTTTCCTCTATGTGGAAAATGAGTTAATTTCAGGTTATGAGTTCTTCTATTAAGATAATTCCTGAGCTATGCTTTTCTTTTTACAAATGTCCAGAAAACAAAAATTTAAACAAAAAATAATGAAAATCAAGGTTCAAGGCATACCAGTTTCTATCATTGTAGATAATGTGTCCTGGAGAGACATCACAAAAGGCTCCCTCTTCATCACACAGCTCATCACATGCTTCCAGAAATACTCTTGGTGCTGTCACCTACAGGAAGTATTTCGGAAGGTAAGCTTCTCTTTCCACGAGTAGTCATTCATTTATTTGTTCAGGAAGAATTTATCATTATTCACATTTCGAGTGACTTTCTGAGGCAAGCAAAAGTAGAGTAGTAGCTGGTATATGTCATTTAGGTGTTGAAATCTGGTTTAGAAAAATATGTCAATATATCCCAGCAGGAGACCAAAGTAGAACATAATGATATAAACTATACACATGTATGTTATGGGCTATAAGTTCTTAACATTCAAAACACAGAAAGTATTTTGAATTAATTTTCATTGCTTGATGTATTAAATAAATATGGATTGGGTGCTCTGCTATGTGATGGGCTCTATCCTGATGACAGGGGGTAAATGGGGCACGAGTACATAAGCCTACCTAGGACTCAAACTTTTGTGAGTGATGTGAACACTAAAAAAGTGGATCAATAAACAAACGTGTGATCACAGTTTGTGATAGGATCCATAAAGATATGTGAAAGAAAATTAAAATAATACATTCTTTGAGTGGAATGGTCCAGAAGGGAAGATGTCATACTCCTTCCCCAACTTGGTACATTCCTTGTTCCTCCTCCTTGTATATTTTTCTTCATAGCTCTTACCAGCACCCAGTCGGTTTTATTTTATGTGTCTGATTTTTTACCTGTATTTACTCACTAAAATGCAAGCTTTATGAAGGCAGGGATTTTCTCAACATCTCAACATGCCTGGCACAGAGCAGACATTCGATTAATATTCATTAAATAAGTAGATACATGAATGAATGCATACATGCCCCCCCCCACCTTTTTTTATAGGAATAGGATTGATATTAAGAACATGGTAAAGTATAATTGTTTTTAAATTCAAAATTGTAGAGAACAATTACACTATGTTGGACAAAGAGAAATACTCCTTTGGTAGATTAGAGAAGATTCTTCAGTAACATGAGTCAGGTTTCCTGTGAATAGGGATCTAAAATGTTAAGTTCTTCAAATGAATAGGAATTAGATATTATAATTTCAAAGGTGTTTCTAGACAAAGACTAGAAACACTGGATTTAGGGTAAGTGGGATCTCATTGATCAGTCCATGCAAAAGACTTCAGAGATGAGCTTGGTGGTGGGGATGTGAAAGAGTCAGTGTGCAGGCCTTAAAGACAAGATCCTGGGAATTAGGTTTCCCTAAATTGAGGAGTCAGCCTTGGTAGGGGTTTAATATGGCTGATCCTCCTTATGCAGTTCTCAAGAACAGATCCAAGGGATACTTGATTGTCAGATCTATAGGTCAGAAATGGAAAATAGAGGAAATAGAGTTTGAAAGGCCTTGGATTAGGCACGAGATGTTTATTTTGAGTTAAAAAATACATTCTGGCATGGAGTGTCCATTCAAAGAGGCTTGGTTTGAATTCTAACTTCTTTAAGTGACATAGAATATCCGTGGGCTTGTGCCATCAACCCCAGGAGCTCCTCTCATTCTTGGCATTTCCTGGTTCATGGGGCAAGATGTTTTCTGAGATTTCAAAAGAGTCAAATGTCACCTAGAGCAGCAGTCCCCAACCTTATTGGAATCAGGGACCATTTTCATGGAAGACAATTTTTCCACAGACCAGGAAGAGGGGGAG